AGGGCAGGGGAGGGGAGGGCAGGGGAGGGCAGGGGAGGGCAGGGGAGGGCAGGGCAGGGGAGGGCAAAAAAGCAGCAGCTTTAATTTTCACAAGGTCATCAAAGGTCATGTTTTACATTGGTAAGAAATAGATTAAGTGACAAGCTCTTTTTTTTGCTTAAGTCTGTCTCTTAATATATAAAGTGTCAAAAACCATAGTTTTGTCAGTTGTTCTTTCAAATAAAAATGTTGCATGGAAATAGTCTAGTTCAGCCTGCAACTCACAATTGGAAAACGGTACTTTTCTTCAAAGCCAATTATCTTCTTTTGGTATGCAGCACAAACGCTTTATACTTCCCTGTTGGTACATTTCCGTAATCCATCTACTTGGGAGGCTCACGCAGGAGGCCAGCCCAGGCAATTTAGCGAGCCCCAGTCTCAAACTAAAAAATAAAAAGGATGTGGAGCTCAGTGGTACAGTCCCCAACACAGAAAAAATAAATAAAAGATGTCACAAAGAATATTATGAAGACATGCAGTGGAAACTGCAAATCAAAAAAACAGTAAGGGGCTAGGGATGAAGTTCAGTGGTACAGTGCTGGCTTAGCATGCATGAGGCCCTGGCTTCAATCTCTAATACCACAAAACCAAAATTAAACCAGCAGCCACCCCTTCATACCCACTAGAATGGCTATTAAAAAACTGTCAGATGTCAGAGGTGGTGGCACACACCTGTAATCCCAGCGCTCAGGAGGCTGAGGCAGGAGGATCACTGTAAATTCATGTTGATCTGGGCTACAGAAAGTGTTCAAGGCCATCCTGGATTACATAGTGAGACCTTGTCTCAAAAACAATTTATTAATTAAAAAAGGTCAGGGATTGAATTCAGCCCAGTGATAGAGAACTTACTTGACATACTCTGAGGGTCTAGATTCAACCCCCAACACCCCCAAAAGAAAAACAAGTCCATAACAAGCACTGGTGGTGACACAGAGAAACTGGAACCCTCGCACACTGCCGATGAGAATGTAAAATAGTAAAGTCTTTGGAAAAACTATTTGGCAATGCCTCAAAAACTTAAAACAATGCGTTGGTGATACAGCTCACCTCAAGGTCCTGAGTTTGAGTCCCACTACCAAAAAAACTTAAACATCGAATTACCATAAAACCAAGCACTCTGTGGCTAGGTGTACATTCAAGAAACTACATATCTATCTCCACCCTAAAAAAGAAACAAAAATGTTCATAGCATATTTGTCCTAATAGCCAAAAGGTAAAAACAATCCAAATGTGTATCAAAAGAAAGATAAATATTGGTATACAATGGAATATTACTGGTCATAAAAGGAAATGAAGTACTGATACATGCTACAACATGGATGAACCATGAAAGAAGGTTATATATATTACATGAAAGAAGGCATACACAGAAGGCCACATATTATACAATTCCACCAATATGAACTAGCAGGCAAACTCAAGAGATAGAAAGTAGATTAGAGGTTGTCAAGGGCTGAAGAGGGGAGAATCGTGAATGACTGCTAACAGGTAAGGTTTCTTTTTGGGAGTGATGAAAATGCTCTAAAATTAATGATGATGACTATATAAGTCACTGACTGTATTTTAAAACTACTGAATTGTATGCATTACAGGGTAAATTTTATGGTGTGTGAATTATATCCCAAAAAAAGCTATTTCTTAAGAAGATATACAGCAACTAAGGGCCAATATTTAGTAAAAACGACCATTTTTACTGGTTCATAGAGATCATTCTTTGGTAAAACTCATTTTTGCTGCAAGTATATGAGCATAAATACAGCAACTAATAGTACGTTTAAAAAAAAAAAAAAAAAGCAACTAATAGTACGTTTGATGTTTAAGCCACCTTCAGTGAAAGTGGAGTAAGAAACTCCTGAGCATTACTATGAAAAATGCTTTAACATGAAGAACCTCTGAAAGGGGCTCAGAGATCCACAGGTCACACTGCTTCACAAGACACAAATGCAATTAAAGGAATTTCCAAATACAGATCTGCAAATGCACAATAATTTCAATTTTCTAAGCAGACATCAAATTTCTCTAAAGGAAATAAAAAAGATAAATTTTTTTTATTTCTCTAAAGGAAAATTTCTCTAAAGGAAATAAAAAAAGATAAATCATCAAATGGAGGATGGAAATTACCACAACCAGTTTAATTCAAATGCCCCTACTGAGTTTGGAATCACTGACCCAGCGGAAGGACACAATATATAATCTCTACAGAGATCCAAACACAGAGTTAAAGCAATAAAATTCAGGATACAATATACAACAAAACAATATTTTGACATACAGTGTAACATTAACAGATTAACATTGATCCTATCTTTTTTAAACTTTATTTAATTCTTGCATAATATTGAAAGAGTAGATTTAAGAAACTTCTACCCATACTTATCAATAGCTATTTCTAGCACATCTATGTTTGCTTTGGTTTTCTTCAACAGGCTCTCACTCCATAGTACAGGCTGGCCTTAAACTCACTATGTAGTCCAGGCTGGCCTCAAACTCAAGGTGATCCTTGTGACTCAGCCTCCCAGATGATGGGATTACAGGCCTGTGTCACCACATCCAGCCAAGCACATGTAAATTTAATGTCCACTATCAAAGAACCAAAGAATACTAATATTTTTAGCACAGCTGAGTTCAACATCTTCCTATCAACTTGAACCACCAATGGTACATGCATCACTGTCCTACCAGGTAGCTTTTACACTGGCAGTACAAATGGATCTAATCACTTTTATCAATCTTTTTACTAATAAAATAGTAAAAAGTCTATAAATGAACCACATCTAGTTAGCTGCTTGAATCTGAATTACTGCCAATATAAATACTATTCATACTAATTTAAAAATTATTATAACACTCAAAAAATTTATTTCATTAAACTGTGACTAGTTTACCAATAATTAATTCTCTAAATTTTAACATGGGAATCTTACAAGCACCCCACTGCTAGTATATATAATATGCACTTACCATTATTGTACCACAAATTACCTGCATTGCAAATTCTATACCATTTCAATGTTTTCCTTAAAGAACTGTAATATGAGGATATCTGCTCTCTGCTAAATCAACCCCTTTTTTTGCATTACTGTAATCAAAAACCCCATGAGAAGTGGCACAAGCCACCAGATGGGAAAGTCACGCATGTACCCACTGGTGGTTCAAGCCAGGGGGAAGGGTCAAATTCAAATCAGAGCCACTCAGCAATGAGACATGAATTTACAGCCCTGCAGTGAATGTCTTAATGCCCACCGACACAGATTCAAAGAATTTTTAGTCTAGAAGGTACCCTAGGTATAGTTACCTACTCTAATACCTCATTTCCTGAGGAAACAGTTTGTGGGAGAAAAATAGCTAGATGAGACAGCTACTTAAGTACTCTTTACTCCCAGTGCCATATTTTCACTGTGCCAACCTGACTGCCCAACCAAATATAATGCATAAAATACTCAACGCAAATCAGAAGGCCAACATGACATACTACTTGCCAAATAAAAATTCTGTAATGTTTGACAATACCAATACAATGTCAAAACAAGCATTAAACCATTGTAAGGAAATACCATGAATGTAACTGATACATTAGAAAAATGAGTCCTTAACTTCAAAAACTATAAACTTTCAATAAAGACCAATTTGAAAGATACTTTAATATCTATTTTCAGATAAAAATACAGGGATATGTATGACCTTTAAAGAGTGTCTGATGTTGATAAACACCTGAAGTTTGAAAGAAATTTTTTCCCATATATTATCAGTACAGTTTTTATAGCATATCATTTAAGACTCACCTGCAGGACTGTCAGCATTCTCTCCTGGGTGTAGCTGTATACCAGTAGAATCTATAGAGTTTACAGTAACTGTCTGTAGATTTGGCAACTGACCAGTGCTTAGACTAACTGGAGTTGAAGTTAAGGTTCCACCTGCTGCAACTTGACCAAGCGTGAGTGTCTGAACAGGCGTCAAAGTTATTTGTTGGGCAGCAGTGTTCTGTATTTGCAAATTCTGCAAGTTCTGGACCCCTTGCACTTGAAACGTTTGCCAAGTTATCTGTCCAGAAGGGGTCACTGTCTGTGCCTGAATTAAAAAGGTTCCAGGATTCAGCTGCAACTGAAGATTTTGCAAAGCCTGCTGTGATATATTCTGACCACTAGCTTGCACACCATGGATTGTCTGTGGTGTAATACCTTGCACAATTTGGGCTTGACTGGTTGGCTGCTGAGACTCTTGAAGTTGTAGATGTTGTACAACAGGCTGTGCTGTAGAAACCTGAATATTTTGAGCCTGTGTCTCTTCAGAAACAGGCGACTGGATATAATTTCCCTGAAGATCTGAAGAATGAACTTGCCCACTAGAAGTAGTCAAGCTATTTGTATTTTGCTGTAGTATACCTGTACTGTCTATTGTAACAGGTAACTGTGATGACGAGGATGTTGGCACAAATAAATCTGAATCAGTATTAGTTTCATTAATATCAGGAGAAACCCTCTCACCAGTCCTTTCAGAATTATCTGAACTATCCATAGCTTGTCCTGTGTTTATCAAATGTCCATCGGCATTAATGCCTGCAGTCATTGTCTGAGAACTGCCCGAAAGTCCCAAAGAATCTAGATCGACACTATTGATTGGTACAAAGGTAATATTTCCTGGCAGACCAAGAGGCACATTAGCAACTACCTGGGTTTGGCCAGGAAAAGATGAACCACCAATTGCAACTCCCTGAACCTGGACTTGACCAGTCTGTGGCATGAGATTCTGGATATTAGCAGGAGGTGTTCCAGAGGCAAGTAAGGTTTGATTAGAGCCAGGAATAATCTGAATTTGACTGCTTTCTTGATTTAAACCCCCATTATCTGAAGAGCCTGTGAAACCAATCTGAACCTGCTGACCATCTGTTGACTGAATTTGTGGTATTACTTGATATTGAACATTGGACACTGTACCATTTGATGAATCTGATCCTGGAGCAACTGAAAATATTTGTTGATTCTGCAAATTCTGAAGGGGAAGGACATACTGCCCACTCGAAGTAGCAGCACTTGGAATCTGTACTAGATTACCAGCTTCGTCTTTTATAGTTGTAGGTGTGGCTGACAAAACCTCCCATCGGTTTGGTGCTCCTCCTAACTGTGCAGAAGCCAAATCACCTGTCTGGATGAAAAAAACAAAAATGTTGTGATATATTTATGGTATGTTTAAACCAATACTCTAAAAAACCCTCTAAACTAATATAAATTCTACTACATGAAAATGAAAGTCATTTAAAATAACACATTCAATTCTTATATTATTTCTTCTAGTTTTGTTATTGCAAAGACAGCCTGTCCTATTTAAATGGGGTGAAGGAGAAATATTAACTAAAACATTCTAGAACGTTTTTATTTTACTTCTTTCTTTTTTTTGAGACAGTCTCTCTACGCCCAGGCTGGTCTTAAACATGCATGTTCTACCATAAGACTACCACCTTAAGACTCCTGAGTAGCTGGGTTTATAGGTATGTGCCACTGAGCCTGCCTACACAAATTAACTTTTTGTCTCCTCAACTGTAATGTTACACAGTTTTGTTTTGTCTGTCTTTTTCGAGACAGGGTTTCACTATGCAGGTCAGGCTGGCCTGACTCACAGCAAGCCTCCCGCCTCAGCCTCCCGAGTGCTGGGATTACAGGCATGCGCCACCATGCCCGGCATTGTACAGTTTTTTTAAAAGCAAAAGTAGCTAGAAGAGATGAACATTGCCTTAACTACTGGAGAGAGTTAAAAGATATATAATGCACTAAAAATATTTGACTAAATCAGCCATGCTGCATTTGTGAACAGAAAAAACACTGGTGCAGAGTTATCTAGTCATTTGAGTTGGATATTATTACTATAAACTTTAAATAATTAAGGCTGTTCATTCATGGTATGCATTAAATATACTCTAAAATAAACTCAGCTGGAGTTATTCCACTAGCAAGCCACCACTCTTGTCTAATGAACTAAGAGACCTTAAAAAAAAAAAAAAAGCTTAATGATGAAGGGTCACTGCTGAAACTACTTAGTAAAGCAACACTGTATAAAAAATTTTTTGAGAATCTGAAAGCTGGAAGACATATACTGTGGTTTAACTACAGATTGCAACAAAATACCAAACATGAATGTCTTACATTCTGTATACTTTTGGAATCTCAGGTATCACCCCAATAGTTTATGGATTGGGCAAAACTGGAAAAATTCCAATGTAGCAAAGCACAAAGCAGTAAAGTCCAACACACCAATGTCACATGGTAGTTTATTTTAGGGATTAATAAGGCTAATATCCAACTTTTTAAAAAAATGTATATACATATACACGTATACATATAGGGGAGGGGAGGAGACAAGGTCTTGGTATATAGTCTAGGCTGCCCTTCAACTCACTGTGTAATCCAGACTGGCCTCAAACCTGTGATCCTCCTGCCTCAGCTTCCCAGGTACTGGAATTATAGGTATGCACCAACACACATGACATAATATATAACATTCAGGCTTTTCTTTTACAGGCTTTTCTTTTATATGCCAAGTACTATAACAAAGCTTGCAAGATTGTATCATATACTTAAAACAATCCTATTGATAGGAGTTATTATCCCTATTTCACAAATGAGAAAACAGGAACAAAGTCACTCAGTTATCAAGTGGCCAAGACAGGATTTAAAACTAGGCTAAGCTTAACTCTAGAATCCAGACCCGTAAGTACTATGTCACACTTGCCTTCTATTAAGATCAGGAGCAAAGACTCTGGGAATAAGACCCTGTATGATTTACTCACTACCAAAATAAAGCCAGCACTATCTCACATCTAGAACTGTGATTTTCTCTAACTCCACATCATTAAAGAATGAGCACAAAAGTGTAATATACCTAGGCCAGGACTGTCAACATAGGACATATGACTGCTCCAAGGGATCTTCAAATCCCCTAAAACAGCCTATTAACTTTTAAGAAAGCAATCTGGGTGGAGAGAAGATCATCTAATTTCATTTTATTCTCGGAGAATCTGTGACCATAAAAAAGGTTAAGGCAAATATTGTTCACCTAACTTAAATCATTCCATAAAATTTAATGCAAATGTTAAACCAAAACATCTTAAATTTAAGGAAACTTACTATGTAATTTTCATTTAGTAGTGAAACACACAAAGGATGAATGACAATTTAATGACTCAATTCAAACATTTGGACATATCTTCCAAGATGAAATAAGCATATTGAATACAATCCCTACCTTCAAATGGTTCACACTGTGTCCAAGCAAGCATACATATACATGCTATTACTATACAGTATGAAAAACGGCATATACTGACCATATAATCAAACAGTATGTGAGAACTAGGAGACTAGGAAAAAAAAAGGCTTCATATAAAAAAAAATAAGATCTCACGGTGGTCAGTTAGTAATAGAAGCATTAATAAAACTATAGAACTAATACAATTACAGATAGAAGAAACACTAAATAATATGCTGTTTGGAGTTAGAGAGGATCCAGAAAAGGCTCATGTTACAAACAAAAGTAATATAAGAAAGGACTAGACAGTTTTATCAAGGCCTGTAAATGGCCTCACAGATCTTACTAAGTTGTTTGGACTTCACCCTGCAGACAGTAAAAGCTATAAAGAGCTTATAAGCAAGTAAATGGTGCAATCATATCTGTATTTTACAAAGATAAAACTAAGGCCCAGAGGAGACTGAAAGAATGCCGGAAGAGAGGAGGGAGGGAAAACTGGACCACGTATAAATCTCTATGCCTAAACTGCGATCATTTAAATACAAGCACTTAAATGAAACTTATTAATCTTAAATTTTAAAATGAAGCATCAGATCTTAAAGTCACATGTCATTCTTCAATTCAGTATGGACACTACAGGCTTATGTCCTCTCTCTTTACATTACCCAAACAATTCACTTTGCATCAGTCTTTTCAGCATCTTAAGTAAACTAAATGTATTTATAGTCTACACTGTAGTGAAGTCCACACAAAAGTGTATTTAAAATTCAATCTCAGCCAAGTGTGATGGACATCTGTGATCCCACTACTTAGGAGACTGAAACAGGAGGATCACAAGTTCAAGCCTAGCTGGCACTACACTGTGAGTTCAGGCCAGCCTGAACTACAAAGCAAGACCCAGTCTCCAAAACCAACAGAAACAAAAATATCAATCTTTTGTGCTGGGAGCAGGGAGTAGGTACTAGGACCTAGGGATTGAATGCAGGACCTTCACACTGAGCTACAGCTCCCTGTTGGTGGTTTTGTTTTGTTTTGTTTTGTTTTGTTTTGTTTTGTTTTGTTTTGTTTTTGAGACAGGGTCTTGATATATCTGGCCTTGAACACACCACGTAAGCCAGGCTGGAATTCACAGCAATCCTCCCGTCCCAGAGTGCCAGAATTACAGTCATGCGCCACCATGCCTGGTCCCATCCCCCTGCCACCCTTTTTTTTTTTTTTTTGGGGACAGTCTGACCAAGTAGTGCACGCTGGCCTTGAACTAACCTATGTAGCCCAGGCTG